GACGTGTATTTATGACAGTTGCAGCACCTCAAGGTCATGTGACCGCCATTTATGACCCTCCCAGTTTCTGACAAGCAAAGTCAATGGGGGAAGCTGGATTTGCTTAACGACCACAGTGATTTCAGTTACTGCCATGCTTAGCAGTGGAAATATGATCCCAATTGTAGTCATAGGTTGAGGATTATCTCCACAATGTTGGAATGCAAGTATAAAAGGTGGGAAATTGCAATTGATGTAATAGTCCACTTTTCCTCATTTTTGCTTCATTTTCCTTAGCAATGGACTCCAGTGCTGGGTGGGTTATGTGCTATGCAAAATCCCAACAACTGGATCAAGTAAATCAAGTTTAAGAATATTGCGAAAATAGCATGAGCCATCCAGTATTTTTAAACATGATTTTTTTGAACAAGCCATTGCAAACCGAATTGCACATAACATTAAAGCCAAAACGCTTGTTATGCTGAAAGCAACTCAGCCACTTTAATTGAATTATATTTGAATCCAGGTCTTCCCCAAGATGGGAATTGTCATTTTTTCAAAATTACTTTATGTATATGTACAAAAAACCCACATCTTTGATGTTGAAGGACAAGTCTTCATCTTGGTTCAGTCCAAGCCGGGAATAAACAACATGGCGACTGCTTTAGAAAGAAGGTTGCAATTTACTGAAGAGGAGAGCCAGACAGAAAGATGGCTCTGGAAAAAGAGAGAGAGAGAGAGACCACATGCAGGAAGTGGGATTTTATACCCTCTGGGGCTCTTGAGGTTGTTTCCTGTTCCTGTTTGAGGCTTTGTATTTCCTGTGTCATATACTTTTGACCTGAGTCTGAGTGTGCCCCTTTGGCATCTGTGGGTTAATCCTATTATGTTCTGTCTTAGAGTTTGAGTGAAGTATGTAGATTTTAGGTGTCTTTGTCTTCCTAAAACTCTAGCTGGGGACCTCCAACCTTCCTGAATGGATTATTTACATCTGCATTTCTACAGAGCTGGTTTCTGCTTGGGGGAGGGAGACTTGGGGCTATTAAGAAAAAACTGGGCATGCTTTTCTGCCTCTTTAAGATCCTTGGAGGAAATATAATATTCTGCCCTTTTAATATTTCCTTCTTTGGGGAGGGGGGGTGACTTCCCACATTGATTTAAAATGGGACTCCTGTGTCCAGTGCTTTTTTTCTTAAAAAAAAAAAAAGTGCCAGAACTCACACACATCATACAACCCGCCTTGCTTACCCTACAAGGTTCCATCCAAAAAAGGTGCCTGAACTCCGTTCTGGGCGTTCTATGAGAAAAAAAGCCCTGCCTGTGCCCATTTATTTTACAATAAGTGTCATAAAAATTATTGAACATATAGAGAATGGGATAATTTCTACATGCAGTAAGTGTTGTCTATGCACAGTATATTCAGCCGAGATTCCGGAGATTGAGAAATCTTTTTGTTTCTAAATATTTAAGGCTTCTTTCTTAGTATTGCAAACAAACAAGCAAATCTGGGGATGAGCCGGGCAACCCCTAGACGAGCTTCGGAGACGAGGAACCTTTCAGCCGACAGAGGGAGTCGCAGAAAGAGGCACCCTCGTGCTCCGGGCTCAGAGGAGGAGGAGGAGGAGGAGAAGGAAGTAGAATTGCTGAGCTAATACAAGGGCGAGGCTGGGAACCGGGAGACGCCGCAGCCATGGAGGAGTTTAATCCCCGTAACGACGAGGTAGTGCAGTTCTTCTTTCCCGCGCTGGTCAGCCGGAACCTCCGAAATCCCGCTTCTCTCGGGGTAGATCTTGCTCGATCGTGGACTGAAAGGCCACTGAGGAGCACAAGGCAGGCTTTCCCAAGTCCCGCCAGGCGGGCTGCGAGGCAGGCTCGCGTCACCTCCCTTCGGAGAAAGATGAGAGATCTCCCGGCATAACAAGACCGGTCGAGCTTTTCAGGCCCGCTCGTTCTTGAAGCTTTGGGCAGCCCCATGTATCTCCCTAAAGCCGCTTGACGGATGGAATGTATACTTTAAAAATGTATATATAAGGGCAGTCGATGCAGCTAAGTCGGAGCAGTGAGACTTTATATTTAAGAGCAAGCGACAGCCGTAAAGGACATACAGTGTGTGCGTGTGCGCACGCATGTGGTGACTTTTCTTTCGGGGATGGAGAGGATGCATCAGCATTTTAATTTGTCTATGGAGGGAATTACTTCTTTGAATTCTCAGTTGTCCACTAAACCATTTTTCCAGGTAGAGAGTTAAGAAAAAGTCTCACTTGCTCTGCTTTGCCTTGCTTCGTTATATGTGTATGTGGCATCATTCAGAAATGCTGCCACGTGTATTTCTTCCTTTGCCCTGTATATACACAGATTTGGATTTAGGTATTATGCTAAGCTGTAATTTGCTTCATAATGGTTTATTGAGAAGACTACAATTGACTGCCTTCATATAATGTAGGCAGTTTACAAAGCGAATTGATTATATTTTAGCATTTCATATGACCCAGTTCAGTGGGAAACAAAGCAAGCTTGATTCTGCTGTTCATTTCTATTTTAAAACGCTGGATTTTAAAATTTCTTTTAAATAAATTTCTTAGATTTGAAACACTACCATGACTTTCTCATCAATCCCTTGCAGTGCTACAAATGCAACATTAATGAATTCTTGTGGCTCTTATTAGTGAATTAGTGGCTCACAAACAGATCTTTGATGTTAAGGAGTTGTACTGAATATGGATGCTACATGTTGCTTTCTGGAGCATCTTTTTCTCTATAGATCTAAAGCGCTGCACATGTATTATTCTCTAGGATAATATACAAGTTTTAGTTTCTGATTTTTCAAGATAGACATAGTGAAATTAAAAACCCAGCTAAACAATATATTTGAAACTGCGTTTTAGTAGTAGTATACATATTTGTTAGATATAATAACTTGGTTATAATATGTGATACTATGCTTGGTTATATATGTATTAACTTCATAAATTAATATTACCAGTATGAATGAAGATTATGACTATTTTGCATTTGAAAGAGTTGTATGTTTTTTTTAAGTGTCCTTTATATTTTTGTATTCTGAATTACTTGATATACTGTACTGTGTATTTAGTTTAAATTTGTATACATTGCTGTGCACTCAAATTGGATGAATTTTGATAAAATATTAATAAAATATCTTTGTATATTTTGATATTATAATTACAGATGATCTTTAACACTGAAGAAGCCCACAATATTATTAAAGATGTGAGTTATACATTTATGTTTTGATAATAAAATACACTTTTGGTATGTTTTCTTTCAATCTCTATTAAAAATAGAAATGATAGATATCTCTTACAGACTTGGGCTATAGCCCTATATGCATTCCATTTGGTGTATCATCAAATTTTTGGAAATAAATATAGATAGATATGGTAATAGCCATACTTTGCATTCAAATTTAATAGATGTTTCAGGTTTTAAACATTTTAATATCAAGACAATGGACTGAATTTTAAATGTCTATGAGTGGAACTTGAACATCAGAGGATACACACTAGCAGAAAGTTATTTCTGCCCATTCTATTTCCTGCAGCTTGCTATACTCTCAGACTAAGATATAATTGGATGTGGGCGATATCCTACCTGGGAGTATCAAGAATGGGAGTGCTTGAATGTGAGGAGAAAGGTGAATTGGTGACAATTGGTGTTTAACCATTTAATTTGCAGAATTGTGTGGTAGATTGGAGATCTTTCTTTGATTGGAAGGCGTCCTTTCAGTCAGGAGAAGGCTGTTTAGGATCTGAGCCAATTATGATCAGCATTACACAGCAACAAGTGTTCTGTTGAATTCTTTATTGGTAGTAATATGCATACTTAATTGTTTTGTAAAGATGGCAAACCGTGTTTCTGGTATTGCGATGTAGCCTTTTCTTGTGTTTAACTAGAAAACTGAATCTGTATGATATGATGTTTACAAGTGTGCCAGAGCAGCCCAGCATTGTGAAAACAAGATGCTGCTTTTATTTGTTGCATTAATATGTAAATTCAACACAATGATATATTTTAGACATGTTGAGATAACTAAGATTATTGACTGATTGGTTTTGTAATTAATATCTCGTAATTTCTAGTCTAGACTTTAGAAATTTGAGTTATTTTCCATTCATTATATGAAATATTTACATTTATATTTCTATAAAAGTCTTTTCCTTGTTCTTTTAGTGTTTCTTTTTTATATATGTTTGTTTTATCATAGAGAATAAAATACAGTGTTTTCTTTTTTTTTTCAGTGCATAGAAGGTGTTCTGGGCAAGGCAGATTATAACCATGACAATGTGAATAAATGGACTGCAGCTGTAGTAGAACAGTCTCTAACAAATCTAGTAAAACTGGGAAAAACATATAAGTATATTGGTAAGACTCATTGTGAATATACAATACAGTACTCTGGGTGAAAACTAAAGACCATATACTAATAGCTTCTCCTAAAGCAGTTTTCTTCTACCTGAATCTCTCCAGGTGTATTGAAACTTCAACTCTATAATCAAGAAGACATATTTAAAGTGATGTGGGATTAGGATTTAACTCTCATTTACCATCAAGCAGAAACAAATATAAAAGGAGCAGGACAAACACAAAGAAAGAGCTTTGCTAATGTTTTTTGGCCAATATTACCAAATTAAGGGATTACAGGGTTGTAAAAAAGGAGAGTTTTTTAAATTATGTTGCAGAATAGAATATTTTAAAGAAGCATGTCCAGATATCCCCAGTGAATATCTGTAATAGAGCTATAGAAAACCAAATTTTTGTGTAGCTGTCTCAAATCTGGTATTATCTTGTATTATCTAGTTTTGTTGGACTAAACAAGTATTCATAGCCAATGGTGTCATATTTTTAGATATGCTTAGATGCTGTGCCTTTTAAGTGCAATAGTGATTATTTTGCAGAAAATTAAAAGTACCAGGAAGAATTCTTTGCTGAAGGGAAAGTTAGCCAGTTTCATCCTCAAAAATATATACACTGGGTTAATTATAATCTCTAGAATTGATAGTGGAAAGATTTTTTTTAAGGAGAAGAAGAAATGAATCTCAATTTAATTTTTCTGAAAAAAGAAAAACTTGTTGCATAATTGGAATAATTAATTGTTGGGAAAAAATGAAAGATTTTCATTTATACTTTGCCACTGCAATGATGGAAGCTTTTCTTCTAGTTGGGTTTTATCCCCAACTCCAATGAAATCTTCATTAGGAAAGTCTGCAAGTTTGAATAATTCATCAGTTTTTTGTTTTATTAATTAATGCTGAATTTTTGCTCCATCCATTAGTGACCTGTGCTGTGATGCAGAAGTGTGGAGCTGGTCTGCATACTGCAAGCTCATGTTTTTGGGATACCACAACTGATGGTAACTATCAAGCTGCAGCAAATAAAAGCATCACTTAAATGATGTAATGTAGAAGTTTCTCCAGCACTGGAGATGGAGGATCCACAGAATGGGTGGAGACTGTATTCCTGCCCAATCAGATCAAGTCAGCCAAAGTTGTCACGCCCCGTCCTGGTTCCATTTTCCAGTCTTGACTTGATCTTGCCCATGGACAGAACGTATAACTCTGGCTCATAGGTACAGTCTAGGTTTTTTTTTTTTTGTGGAATCCTTCTTTTCCCTTTGCTGGTCCCCTTTAAATAATTAGGCTTCCCTTTCTTAACAAATTTAGCCCCAAAATTCTGCCACTCCTCCTTTGCAGCTCTGTAGTGGGGGGAGCAAAAGAATAAATAGGAAGTCGGAAGGGGGTCCCTTCTCTCTTCCCTCCCCCCAGGAGCTTTAATATCTCAAGCA